AGCCAATCAATGGTTCTCTCTCATCACTGATGTGTCTCTCTCTCTCTCTTCCTCTCTGAAATCAATAAAAATATATTTTTTTAAAAAAGTAGGGACTGTTAAATATTTGGTACTTTTTAAACTGTACATGTTACCAACCCTACACCAAATGGGAGATAACCTAATTTTGAGATATGATGATATTAAGAAAATATTTCTTTTCACCAGCACTGTCACCTGTATTTAATCAGTAATTTAATATTGTGCAATTACTTGAATATTCTATTGCATTTACTCTATTACTTCATATATACAAACAGCAAATGAAAGCTTAAAGTGTCGATACTATTAGCAAGACAATATGAAAGACAGAAATCAAGAAGGCTGAACAAGGAGTAACTAGAAAGATGGAGGCATAGGTAAACACCTGAACTTGCTGCCGCGTACAACCACATTAAAACTACAACTAAAAGACAAAACGAATATCATCCAGAACCACGGGAAGGCTGGCTAAGTGGAAATTCTACAACTAGAACGAAAGAGAAAAGCGCACTGAGTCCAGTAAGAGGTGCAGAGGTGTGGAAGTGTGGAGGTACGGAGGCATGTGAAAGGGGCTGGCAGCTGGGTACACTGGTGTCTTCTTCAATCAGGAGGGAGATACAAGCTCCCGAATGCTCTGAACTCCAGTTCCGTGCGAGAATTTGGGGACCCATACTCATATGGAGAGAAACTGGACTGTCAGGTATCAGGCCAGAACGTGAGGGCAGCTTTCTCGCAGAGGTGCTTGCAGCGGTCATTGTTCCTGCATGGGGCCGAGGGACACAGAAACCTGGGACCTCTCTGAGGCAGAGCAGACTGGCAGCCATTGCAGTTTGCTCCACCCTGGTGATTCCCTGAGACCCCGCCCCACCCAATTTACAGCCCCACCCAAGCTGTGCGCAGAGGCTTTTGCATGCGAATGGCCTGGCCTTTCTCCACCTAAAAACATGTCAAACTGCAGCTGGGTCAGAGAACCCCAGAGCTTCCAAAAAAAGGCCTAAGGCTCATCACAGCCTGCATTGCTTCACAGCTGCACCTCATCTGGGAACCTCCAAACCCCAAACAAAGAGGAGGACAGGGAAGCAGCCAAAATTCGGAGACAAAGAAACAGGTCACAAATGAAAGAAATGGAGGAAAGCAAACTACTAGATATAGAATTCAAAACCACAGTTATAAGGTTACTCAAGAATCTTCTAGAAACGTCCGAGAAATATAGTGAGACCATCAAGAATATGAAAAAGGACCAATTAGAAATTAAGCATACACGAACTGAAATAAAGAATAATATACAGAGATCCAACAGCAGACTAGAGGATCCCAGGAATCAAGTCATAGATTTGAAATACGAAGAAGCAAAGAACACCCAATCGGAAGAGAAAAAATAATCCAAAAATACAAAGATAGTGTAAGGAGGCTCTGGGACAACTTCAAGCGTACCAACATCTCAATTATAGGGGTGCCAGAAGAAGAGAGAGAGCAAGATATTGAAAACCTATTTGAAGAAATAATGACAGAAAACTTCCCCTACCTGGTGAAACAAATAGACTTACAAGTCTAGGAAGCACAGAGAACCCCAAACAAGAGGAATCCAAAGAGGACCACACCAAGACACATCATAATTAAAATGCCAAGGGCAAAAGACAAAGAGAGAATCTTAAAAGCAGCAAGAGAAAAACAGTTATTTACCTACAAGGGAGTACCCATACGACTGTCAGCTGATTTCTCAACAGAAACTTTGCAGGCCAGAA